AATCTCTAGACGGTCTTGTAGAGGGAAGACTGGAGGATATTGCCATTGTCCGTAGAGAAAAAGATGGAGGGAAGAGAAGAACAGCAAAGAAAAGAAGTCAAACATCAACGGAGGGAAAGGAGCAGCTGTATTTAACTCTTACTGAACTTCTTGACCAGAATGGCAACAACATTTCAAAGGTCACTGGGCAAAATCTGCCTGGTTTCCACACTGATAACTTCTCACTCAGACAGCCGTATGATCGAGTGATCCGATGCCTGGGCTTTCGTTTTAACTTCTCCATTTTTGATGGGTAAGATCAACAGTTGAAATTATGAATATGCCAAGCAGCTTATTATATACACACACCTGGTCGAAAGTACTTTGGAATAGTCATTTTTTAAAAATGTTTTATTTAATCAAAAATACAATAAAAACAGTCATATTATGAAAAATTGTTACGATTTAAAATAACTGTTTTCTATTCTATTTTAAATACTGCATTTTCAGCATCATTACTCCAGTCTTCAGTCACATGATTTTTCAGAAGTCATTCTAATATACTGATTTGCTTGTCAAGAAACATTTCTAGTGCTAATTAATATGTTTGTGATAACTGTGATAACCTACCATTCAAGAGTAAGATTTAATAATAATAATACTTTTATTCAGCAAGGAGGCATTAAATTGGTAAAAAGTGACAATAAAGACATTTATAACATTACAAAAATTTCTATTTCAAACAAATGCTGTTCTTTTTTTAACTTTCTATGCATCAAAGAATCCTGAAAGCAATTTATCATGGGTTCCAAAAAACAACAACATTTCAACATTGCTAATAAAAAGAACCATTATTAATAATTTAGCACCAGTAATAACTGATAACAACTGAGCAGCAAATCAGCATATTGATGATATCTGAAGGATCATGTGGCACTTTAAAATATCAAAATAGAAAATATTTTTTCATTTCACAATATTACTGCTTTGCTGTATTTCATCGTTAAATATAGCCTTGGTGAGCCTTTTGACTGGTAATGTAATTACTTTCATATTGACAAAAATTAGTTATTATTTTTCCAGATCTGCACGGCCGCCCCAAAGCAGTGGTGCCCGAGGCCGGTTGCCAGGAATAACAGCCTGGTACGAAGGCAGAGGGACGCCCAACATGTTTGTCCTGGGTACAGCAGCCCACTCCAGAGATTATCGTATGTCTGCTGGTGGGTTTGTTCACGGATTCCGCTACACTGGTAAGCATTTCACCTCACTTAAACATAACATTTCAGGTTTGTCGTAGGAACGTAGGAGGCCATAATAGAGGTCCTCTGTTTTGCTACTACAGTGCGTGCTGTTCATAAAATCCTGGAGCAGCGTTACCATAACATTGCCTGGCCTGCTACAAAATTACCCATCAGTCAGCTGCAGTCCTGGATTCTTAGGAGAGTGAATGAAGCCTCTGGACCATACCAGATGTTTGGCGTTCTTGGGGACATTATTCTACTGCGAGGGTAAGGGATGTTTCAAAGGATGCATGTACAATATATGTATTTGTTGGTACGTTTTTTTGTTTTGTTTGTTTGTTTGTTTGTTTTTTACATTTTAACTTTTAACATGCAAGATGCTCGCCAAGGCTTAATTTATTTGATTAAAAATACAGTAAAAATAGTATTATTCCGAAGTATTATAAATAACTTTTCTATTTTAATATATTCTGAAACTTAATTTATTCCAGTGATGGCAAAGCTGAATTTTCAGCATCATTACTCCAGTTTCCAGTGTCACATGATCCTTTAGAAATCATTCTAATATACTGATTTGCTGCTCAAGAAACATTTATAATTATTATCTACGTTAAAAACAGTTGTGCTGTTTCAAATTTTCGTAGAAACTTTGATAAAAAAAATTCTGGAACCTATGATATATATATATAGAAGGTTTAAAAGAACAGCATTTATTTGAAATGGAATCTTTTGTAACAATATAAATCTCTCTACTGTCACTTTTGATCAATTTAATGCCTCCTTGCTGAATAAATTTCTTTAAAAAAAAAATCATACTGAACAGTCTTTTCAAATGTCCAGTGAACACTAAACTCATGGGTTGTCAAAATTGTATCTAACTTCCGACCTTGACAACACATTAAAAAGCTGAATTTTCAGCATCATTACTCCAGTTTCCAGTGTCACATGATCCTTTAGAAATCATTCTAATATACTGATTTGCTGCTCAAGAAACATTTATAATTATTATCTACGTTAAAAACAGTTGTGCTGTTTCAAATTTTCGTAGAAACTTTGATTAAAAAAAATTCTGGAACCTATGATATATATATATAGAAGGTTTAAAAGAACAGCATTTATTTGAAATGGAATCTTTTGTAACAATATAAATCTCTCTACTGTCACTTTTGATCAATTTAATGCCTCCCTGCTGAATAAATTTCTTTAAAAAAAAAATCATACTGAACAGTCTTTTCAAATGTCCAGTGAACACTAAACTCATGGGTTGTCAAAATTGTATCTAACTTCCGACCTTGACAACACATTAAAAAGATTATAATTCTATCCCTCACAGCCTTGTTTTTATTCAAATCTAATTAAATATGGCAACTATGATGAATGACTGTTTTACCTACACAAATCTCTCTCCTCCTTCCTTCCACAGGTCTTACTGTGAATATCTGGAGGAGTTTCCTCTGCAGGCCCTGCCCCAGCTGTCTGCTCTATCTGGACGGCCCCTTACAGATCATGGTCTTCTGGTCTTGGTCATGCAGTATGGACTGAACCGGACTGATACGCTAGGACCAGGTCGAGCTGAGTCCGAGTGGACCAAAGCCTGGAGGCCCAACTTCCTCCATCCGGTCCTGTACTACTACAACACACTACCTACAGGTGAAGAGCTGCTCAAATATGTTCTGTTGATAGGGCCGTCCTTTGGGGGGTGCAACTGGTGCGGTCGCACCGGGCCCTGCGCTTGAGGAGGCCCCGCGGCAAACAGACCGAGGGGGAACCCCCACAGCCCCCCTACACCCCCAATATTTTGGACTTTTCTGTTGATATTCTATCAAAATCACATACTGGAATATTAAAATAAGTGTGCTCTATGTTTCTATAGAGAAGGATATGAGGCAGCGTCCAGTTGGCTGGCCACTACCACGACCTGAGGCCGTTCATCACATGGTTGAGGACTTCTTAACTGAATGGGATCAGCCCATATCACACAGCCAACCTCTCAGACGCTTCCTCGAGCACTGCCTCCAAACTGACCTCAGGGCCTTTTATGCTGGTCAGTACAGAAATGTTCTTCTGAGACATTGGGGAACTTTTTGAGTGCCAATAATTGAAGACAAATTCTAAAATAAAATGCTGTTTTTTAGAACTTTCTATTCATCGAAGATTCCAGGAAAATGTATCAGTTTCTAGTAAAGATATGAAACGGCACAACTGTTTTCAACATTGATAATAATAATAATAAGTCTTTCTTGATCAGCATATTAGAATAATTTCTGAAGGATCATGTCACTCAGAAGACTGGAGTAATGCTGCTGAAAAATACCACACTGCTATTACAATTATTTAAAATTTTGATAATATTTAACAATATTACAGTTTTTACTGTATTTGTGATCAAATAAATGCAGCCTTGGTAAGCAAAAGAGGCTTCTTTCAAAAACATTAAAAAACAGCATAGAGAAGTACTTTTTACAACTGTTCTTGCAGGACTTCATCATTTATTATGTGCCTTTGTGTGTCCTTTTTCTTCAGAATCCTGTTTCCTTCTGTCCCTCACCAGTCGTACCCCACCCCTCTTCTGCCGTCAAGGTTATTTAAGAAAGCAGGGCATTGTGGGAAACAGCCACCTATGGCAACATGCCCGTGAGGCAGGACTCATGGCAGATCATCATGGAGATATTACACCCGGCCATGATACATCAGTATCTGAATACCTGAAACATGCTGACGCTGCAGTTGTTTCAGCTATGAACTTTGACCTTTGAGGGGCATTAACACTAACGGTACCAAAGACCAAATCTCTTCTGTTCATCTACCTCCCATTTCTCATGGAATTTACCTTATCAATTCACCTGCATTTCCATAGAAAACATCCCACATCTAGTATCCTGAGACTACGATCAAACATACAGTTAAGTAAAATAATAAGTATTACCTTGCCATAGTTTTTATAAGCCAAAGTATAGCTTTATATACTGTTTTATGGTATTGGGTTTGGTGTTGCAATACAATGCATAACTTATTTTTTTATACAATTGTTAAAGGTATATAAAAAAAGTATTTTTCTTGGGTTGACATGCATGTACTTCTATTTATAACTACAATAAAGACATCCCATCTCATTAATTAATTTCAAAAAGGTGTGTTTGTGGTTATATATATATATATATATGTATGTGTGTGGCATTGTAGCATAGAAGTCATTTACGAAATGAACAATGTTTTATTATAGAAAAGACTGAAATATTGGAAAGAGTTTAACTCTAAAACATTTTGTTCTCAGATACAACAACATAAAATTTCAGTCAGTTTTGTTTGTCGTGCATAATGCTGTTAAGATGAGAGCTAAGCATGTTCTGAGTTCCTGATTTTAATCCAGAGTAGGAAATATTATACACACATTTTTAAATCAGATCTAGCAAGTGAATTATTAAATAATAAATTATTTAAATATATTTTTACTTTTACATTTTGAGGCCCTTGTGTAAGTTTACTGAGTGGGGATTCCATGTGCAAATATAACTAACATAAATAAAATAATTAACAATCAATTCAAATCCTAATCTTTGTTTTCATAAAATAACAAAATGTAAGTAAGAAATAACATTTTCTAGAAATTACGTACGTATATTTACTACGTTATTACTATACGTTCTCCAAATGGACGAGCGCCTTAACAACATCGATGTTGATTGGCTGCTTAGGTCACGATGAATTCAGACTAAGCAATGCCGACGTGTTTTACTAAAAACAAGCGCAAAACATTGAAACAGCGCCATTTTGGCTCAAATGGGCTCAGAGTTCAGTGCTTGTTAGAACGCGGAACGGTGTGTATTCAACATTACACAATTAAATTGCAATGAACAGAAAAGCAACGTATCTTTATTTAAAAACCTGGCTCCAAATGCAGTCTTGAAGAATGCCGCTTGTGTAACAATGCTGCGTTAGGTTTGTGCAACAGATACAGTATTTACATTCTGATGGTACTGACATTAGTACAGTAAACGCCTTATATTAATATGGAGGGGTCGAGCCCACTTGTCGCAGCCACGTCGGATGGCGACCGGTCCAGTTCGGAGGGAGAGCTCACGGTAACGAACGGAGCTGCGGTGAGAGACGGCGAGAAACGGGAGGATGTGACGCCGATGGAGGCTGCAGGTGCGGTCGGGTTCAGTATCTCGCGTCTGGACACGCTGAGCGCGCTGAGACTCAACCGGACACGACCGGCGGCGGACACCGAGCTCCGGTACCTGCACTTGTTATGGCAGCCCGGTGAACTGCTGCAGGCGGGACGGAGCTCGCCGGGCAAAATCACATCGAACAGGGTGAGGCGGCTGGGAAGAGCTCGGAGGAACATGGGGCCCATTGGAAAAGACCTGTATGGTGTGTGCATGAACAGACATGTCATATATTGTTGTAATATATATATATATACACACACGCACGCACACACACAGTAGTAGCCAAAATTATTAGAACACTAGTATTTTCACCAGCTAAAAAAAAACAAAAAAACGTTTCTTGAAGCGTTTTAGCGATGTTGCCACAGTTCTTCTGGATTGAGTTTGTTCAGTTTCTTCATGTAATTCCAGAGACTGTGTGATCTCTTTGTGCAGCACTGGCTGTTGTCAGACAAAAATCTCACTGGATTATTACAATTAATGGCAAAATGAATGTATGGAAATGTAAACTGATATTTCCTACTGACACACTACAGCAAAAGATTGAAATAACTGACTTGTAACAATTTTTAGCTGGTGAAAATATTAGTGTTATATATAAGATCTTTTGGTAATATTGTGGTAACATAGCAGATTTTTTTAGTTCCTTTTATTTCTCTCTCTCTCTCTGTCTCTCTCTCTCTCTATATATATCAATTCCATATTGTTTTCTTCTCCAAGCTGTGAAGAGGCTCAGAGAAGCTGCCAACTCCAATGATATTGACACAGGTGAGAATCATCAGCGTGACAGACAGTAGTAGTCACACTTGATGCTAAGATTTAGATTATAGTCGGTTCACTTTTGTGTTTTAGTTCGTAGATTGCTGGAAGAGGATACTGATCCTTGTGCTGCTGATGACAAGGGCAGAACAGCCTTACACTTCTCTTCCTGCAATGGCAACGAGAGTATCGGTAAGCTCGGACAAAAATTTTTGGCATTAACTTTTCATAGTGGCATTCAGTGCACGATAAGGTAATTTTACTGGCTTATTTATTGGTACCAAAAGTATTTAGCTACCCAAGACACACCAAAAATATATAAATATTGCATTGCATAATAAAATTTCAAACCAAGTGGCATTTATTTTCAAGTAACTACATTAGTAATAATGTAAGCCTGAGTTTGTTTCTTCATCAGAACAGATTTGGAGAAATGTAGCATTACATCACTTGCTCAGCAATGGATCCTATGCAGTGAATGGGTGCCGTCAGAATGAGAGTCCAAACAGCTGATAAAAACATTACAGTAACCCGCACCACTCCAGTCCATCAGAAATAAATAATAATTGTGATAAGTTCGTCACTAAGATGTTTTTAATTTTTTCTATCCATAATATTGCTTTCCAATGAAAAAGTTGTCTTGTCTGAATCAAGAGAGAAATAAATAGTTCTTAACAAATATGTCAGTGTATTTTGATGTGAGAGGACAACAAGGGATGGACTTTTTCATTGGAGGAAGCGTTATTATGAATTATGAACCAGAAGCCATGGTTTAAAGACGTTAATTGATGGACTGGAGTGGTGTGGATTATTGGGATGTTTTTATTAGCTGTTTGGTCTCTCATTCTGACGGCACCCATTCACTGCAGAGGAACCATTGTTGGGCAAGTGATGTAATGTTACATTTCTCCAAATCTGTTCTGATGAAGAAACAAACTCATCTACATCTTGGACGCCCTGAGAGTGAGTACATTTTCAGCAAATTTTAATTTTTGGGCTTTTTCATTAAATATTTTCCATTTTCATTTGAACTATTCCTTTAAGTGTGGCTTAATTATCCAAATACTTTTTGAGGCCACTATATTTGACCTTTTACCACTGTGTTCCACTTTCTCTTTGTGTCTTTACTTTTAACAATGTAGTTCAGTTGTTGCTAAGTTATGGTGCTGACCCAAACCAGAGAGACAGCCTCGGAAACACACCACTGCATCTGGGTGAGAATGTGCAGAAGCATAATTAGCATAATTATGTATAATTAAATCTATGTTCAAAGCTTATGGTGAGTTAAATTGCCTTCTACAGCTGCCTGCACCAACCACGTGCCTGTCATCACAACTTTACTGCGGGGAGGTACGATTGATTATTCATCTGAATCTTATTCATCCGAGAGATTTCTGCTATTTCTTAACAAAAACAGTACCTCTAACACCATTCACAAATCGAATTTAGTACCAGTTCACGCATTATAAATGTCCCCTCAGGTGCCCGTGTTGATGCTCTGGACCGTGCTGGAAGGACTCCTCTTCATCTGGCCCGTTCAAAGCTCAACATCTTACAAGAGGGAGACTCACGTAGCATAGAAACCCTCAGAGGAGAGGTCACACAGGTGATTAACTTCATGCACATAACGAAGACATTGTGGACACTGTGACGTTCATGCTTCTTGTGAATATTTCTACTATGAAGGTTACTTGGGGTAAAAGCATCTGCCAAATGCATAATGTAATGTAACATAATGACTACTGGGTTAACATGAGACAGGTCGATAAGGTTTATATAATGTACCCTGCCCACACTTTTCCTATGCTCCTGTTGTACATGCTCATATATGTGCTGTAATGTAAAAATGAACCAGTGATCTCTGAATATGTCTGTAGATCATTCAAATGCTGCGGGAATATCTGAATATAATGGGACAGAGTGAAGAGAGAGAGAAACTGGAGCACATCTCAAACCAGCTGCAGAACACCCGCACCAGAGAACAGGTAAAACAGCTGCTGAGTTCATGTACTCATTCCCTTCGATATTTTAAAGAGAACTGTTTCATTTAGCATCTGCACCCTGTTAAGCCTGTAAAGCCTGGCGTAAAAAAAAATATTAATATATATTTTTTTTGAATGGAACCATTTATTATACCTTTTAGACATAAAAAAAATTCTAAAAACAGAAAAGCGTTTGTTTATTTTTTGAGCATCATATGGGATACATCAGGTTTTTATGGCTCATATAGAATGATATAGTCGCATAGGAAAAAAAACTTATTCAGAGGCCCAAAATGAGCAAAAATATGCAATTTTGTGAAGTTGCTGATATTTATACAGCCAAAATTAAGATGGAATTCTGATAGCTTGTAATGTAAATCAATGTGATCTTTATAACAGTATAACAGACTACATAACGTGCGTAAAAAATATCAGTTGTCACTATATCTCCTAATAATATGTCTTAGTAAGATTATATTTAAATGCATAGTTTTATGTTTAAGGCTCTGTAGTTTTTATTGTGGATGCAAAATATGATGGGAAACATGCAAATACAAATTCCTCAAGCCTGATGTGGCATATTTCATACTCACATTTTAACACGATTTTTCTAAAAGAAACCTGAGTCGCTTCAGTCCAGTACGTTTTCATTTTCAAAATATTGTATAATGGAAAATGTACCACTGAAGGGGGCATTTAGAATGAAACTAAAAGTCCTTTTCTTGCTAAAAAAAAGTACAAACTGTCAGTCAGACAGAAGGAATGTTGTAAACTGTGTACAGTAAATGTTGATGATTTAGAGCCCATAGAAATTTGCGTTATCAGATATGATACAGTAGGCTTTATGGAGTTAATTCTACAGTTTTGTGTGTTTGATATCACTGTAGCTTTTGGACATTCTTTCATGTGATCCGCAGGTGGACGAAGTGACGGATTTACTGGCCAGCTTCACGTCTCTCAGTATTCAGATTCAGAATATGGGAGACAGGTAGAGATGGATTGAAGAAAAGAAGTGAGAGGATGAGACAACTGTGGGTTTTATTCTGGAGAACAGGAGAAACTATTTATATATGACATGCCTACATATACAACACAACTGTGTAATAATGGTTATTTAAATCCAACTTTGACTAAGAAAAATTATAAATTGCCTTCATTTTATTTTTGTTCCTGAAACCATTCTCATTCCTTTCTGTTATGCCTATGTCACAGTTTACTGTGTATTCATTTTTGTAAGTGACTGAAAGACAGCCAAATAAATTACATAATGCCACGAGTGTATGTGTGGACTGTCTTTGAATCAACGATGTAGCAAAACTCACACTAAAGTATAAGCTGTGCGTTTACAAATCGCTTTTATATGGTAAATATCACTAATGCTAATGTTTAATGTCAGTTTTTGGTTGTAAAAATGGGGGCTTTCATTGTTGTGATACACTCTCTGGTCTCAAAGTCCCTCCTCCTCATCTCTGGCTGCTTTTGTTGTTGACTCCCATCAAAGATGGCGTCGCGCGCCAACTAAACCCACATCAAACCCGAGGTAATATTTCACTCATTATTGCACAACACTTCTAATATCTCCAAACAAATCGCATGCATTCCGTGCCATTTGTGCAGTACTGTTGAAACCCATAAAATTGCATGGTGGGAACGCAACGTTAATCGAGTTGTAACCCGATACCGGCCTTTGTGCACCGCAGCCGCGGGACTGAGCGCGCTGGACGATCCGGCAGAGACGCGCGACACGTCCGCAGCTGCTCGAATCCTCGAGCTGAACCAGGGAAGCGCTGGATCCTGATGAAGAGAGGGGAAGGGGGTGTGTGAGTGCATTTCTTCGAAAGTAGGCGGGAAATGTGCAATAATGAGTGTTGAGGCTGTTCTTGTTGTTGGGATTCCTGCAAATGTCATTGGCAGCTTGACTAAAGTTGTGGCTGGAGGAAAGCTGATGTGGGCTGCAGATCCTGATCTGTCACTAATGAGTGCGTGCGCTTTCTGTTGCACATCTTCAGAGTTGTTCAACGCTTCTGCATGCAACGTTATTGCAATAGAAGAAAGCTTTTATTAGAATTGGAAGATGAGGCGACTTAATTGTGTTTTTCTGATGAGTTTTGTTTTCTCTGTAGTTTTTTCAGTATTAGTGCTTATTTATTTGGTTGTATATCTTTGATGTTAATGTTTATATTATATGGCATACAGTTGATAACTTAAATTTAATTCAGTTTTGTTTGTATAGCAATTTTTACAAAACATGTAGTTCTGAAGAAAACTTGTCACTTTTAGTCCATGGTCGAAATACCTTTTAGAATATTTGCATATTTCATTCTCTTCCAGGGAAAAGGACATTTTATATATATATATATATTTGCTTGCAGGTGTCTATCTACATTTGTTTGTCTAGTAAACTGCTCTTTTGAATGAGAATGTGACTTCACCTAAAAATGAAAATGTACTCACTCCCATGCCACCCAAGATGTAGATGAGTTTGTTTCTTCATCAGAACAGATTTGGAGAAATGTATCATTGCATCTCTTGCTCATCAGTGGGTCCTCTGCAGTGAATGGGTGCCGTCAGAATGAGAGTCCAAACAGCTGATAAAAACATCACAATAATTCACAAGTAATCCGTATGACTCCATCAATTAACATCTTGTGAAATGAAAAGCTGTGTGTTTAAAAAAACTATTTCATCCAGATGTTTTTGACTAAACCAGCTTCCAATTAAAATATGAATCATCTGTCAATAATATTGCTTTCTCCAGTGAAAAGGTCACTGAATCATGAGAGAAATATACACAGATCAAGCACCGTTCACAATCCAAAACAGAGCTAAACAAATATGTTGATGGACTTTTTCACTGGATGAAGCGTTATTATGGATCATGGCCTATAATTTGAAGTTAAAACGCCATTATTATGGATTTGTTTCTTACAAACACTTCTCACTTCACAAAATGTTAAATGATGGACTGGAGTGGTGTGAATTATTGTGATGTTTTTATCAGCTGTTTGGACTCTCATTCTGATGGCACCCATTCACTGCAGAGGAACCATTGATGAGCAAGAGATTTAAAGATGATGCGTTTCAATTTTTCCTTTCTCTTTGGAGTGTTACAAGCTCTTGGTGCATAAAGAAGATCTGTAAAGTTGCAAAGACTAAAGTCTCAAATCCAAAGAGATATCCTTTATAAAAGTTAAGAGTCAACCACGCCTACCTAAAACGGCTCGTTCTAACACGCCCCCACATACCTACGTCACGATCTGGGAAGATTTGCATAAAGCCGCCCAAATGTCCACCCAAAGAAAGAAGGCGTAACTTTTATCCTCGCTGTAGTATTGTTATCAAAATTGTAGTAAATCAGCTCAAAAGGGAAATATTTATGACTAATTATAACTGGTTATGATTAATAATAAATATTTAGATTAGATCTTCGAATTAACTGTAGCAGAATCAATATCACCATTACTTGATCTGTCCGTCCACCGAGCAGACAAAATAATCATTTATCAATTCAAAGAAAGATTATTTTCCTGGCCAAAGAAGGATAACTTTCCTCATTTATGCAGTGCTAGCAGTAATTTAACATATGTAGCAAGGGTTCAAAACATTCATTGACTTCGAATTGTGAGCAGCAACAGAGACAATCAGTTGTGAATATAAGGGATTTAATAAATGAAACTATATCTAACATATAACTAAGCAAAACACGTATATATACAGAATTAAACAAAGTAAGGAAAAGAGAGAGGAATGTAAAAGGATGGCAGTATTTTACATCAATTAACCACAACCTTTGA